ATTGTTTGTTGCTCTGTTTCCTGCTGCTGTGTAAATCCAGGCCATCATCAATCTAAAGACAATGCGATGACCTGACATCACAATCTCATTTATCTTCATCTGTCCTTCACATTCTGTCATTCTTATGTAAAATGGACTCTAAAGGATGCAACTCCTCTTCACTCATCTAAAAGCTGAAAGAGGAGGGTAAGTGGGTAAAAGGTCTATGATGGCTTCAGTATACCAATGGAGACTCCAAGCAATCACTTCACTTAGCCCAGAGAGCTACATTGCAGCTAATGTGCTTAACATGTAAACATGACATAGCAGGAAGTAGGATAATGTGATTCTTGAGCTCTATGTCTCACTTCCCTTGCTGAATCTCCCAGCATCAGTTTCCCCAGGCTATATGAAACTGAAATATTGTCCAAAAAAGATACTATAAATGCACAATATATGGGACATAGAATGATATTAATTTCACTTCTCTAACAGTCCAAGAATTCTCTCCATTCCAATATACTAACTTAAGCTCATTATGATACAGAGGTTGTTAAGTCAACAGGCAACAGGACTGTAAAGTATGCGAGCTAATTTACATGGCCAAACACCTTAATTAAATGTACCCAAGTTAGACTAACTGCATCATATCTTTCATATTAGAACAATCCTTTTTCTTTCCAGATTTACATCAAAAACAAAATCTCTACCTTTCAGCATCAGCACAGGAAATTTACTTTAATTCTCCTGTTGCCTATTCTCTTCCTACAACTGTTTTTCCCAGATAAGACAGGTGGTGAAAACTATGTCTATTCATTTCAAAACAGGAAGTTGTTCTTTGTTAAATGATCTCTTAAGACTGTTTTGTTTCTAGCTACACATTCAGGGCACATTTTGAATACCATGTTCTAATCACACATGTGCTAAAACCTTTCTTTTTTCAATAGTACTATTAAACAATACACAAATGATAGTTCATAAAAAATATAGAAAATACACTTGTGATATAGCTTATATCATCTGAGTAATGAAAGAAGTACAGTTAATGAAAAATTCATACTAAATATGAATATGGAATTCTACCTGAAATAGAAAATGATTAAAACACTTTTACAAAAATCACTAATTATTTAAAGTATTGTCTTTTGCACAACTATGGAACATATGCAGACCATTTAGATAATGGTTCAATGTACTAAATTAGAGTTGCACTTCAAAGCACAGCGTGTATCACTTGATGATTTTGAAGCCATTGTTTTATCACAAAATATGTTTTCCACTTACCAATTTTGCTTTGCTGCCAGTCATAATTATATAATTTCATCTATTACAAATTAGATACTACAGATTTTGAAAAATTTGAGTAGTAAAGGCCTTTAGATCCCTCTGACCTAGAAAATTAAGTTTCAGCATATAATTACAAACACTCTTAATATCTTAATTTAAATATGTTCATCTAAGATTAGCTTGGTAAAAAAGTTGTATCTCTAAATTTTAAAAAATGAATCAAAGTATATACGTATGTGTGTGTATATGATGCATGCATACACACAAACAAGCATATGTATAAGTACACATATATACATGTATTTGTTTGTATATGTTTGCACTTCTCTGATGCATCCTGAAGCAAAGGTTAATTAGTCAAAAGGCATTACCAGTGTGTAACAATACTGGTACTTAAAACACATATTTTCAACAATTAAGTGATTTTAGAACCAAGATGTTAAAGGTAATATTTTATAGAAGATCAAAAACATGACAAGAATTTTGGTAAGTTATTTCCCAAACTTTAATTTCTCAAAGTCTGTGATACTGAAGACTGCCACTTATGAGCTGCCATAATAAAACAGAACATGTGTCCAAAGGCAAATATTATTAGCAAGCAATAAACACATTAAAAACAATGCAAAAAGAAATGTATAAAAGAACCACTTCCCTCCCTTCAATCTCCCACCTTTAGAGACAAGTTCTGCCCAAAGTGGTTAAGCTTTTTCTCCAAGAGAGCAAAGATATCCACAGACAAAAGTATCCCTAAAAGAATGGAAGTCATCTACCATTACCTCTGGGGTTTTGACATATTCTAAGATGAAGGAGAATAAAGGTGCAAAACCTTAGAGTGACACAAGATAACTTATAATCTCTAGGTTTTTCTTAAAAAATTCTTTAGGTCTTTTCTACCAGGTGGAGGTAAAAAATAGGATAAATTTCACCTTAACGCAAAACACAAGAGGTTGAGGTTCAATCTAGGTCTTATAGAGCAAAAAGTTAGCAAAAGAGATGACGTCAACAATTCCACTGTATTAAAACAATAGGCTTACGGTTATACTTATAAAGAACATGAAAAATATATCCTTTAAATAAAGGAGTTTAAATTCATTTATCCACTTCTATTTTAAGAGAGATTATATGTATAATTGAAGAAAGATATATCTGGACAAGGCAAGGCACAGAAATACTCCATCTGAAGAAGACAGACTCCACAGAAAAGGATATTTCCAAGGAGCAGGTTTGTATCCAATCAAATGAATGGCAAAGTTGGCCTCTGTGAAAGAAGTTATTCTTAGTGCCCAGAAGAGAACTCACATAGGGGCTGGAGAAGCTGAAGAGTACTGTGGCAGGAAGAATTCTAGCTCAGTCAAGATGCTGTTGTGAAGGGCTTTGCAAATGTAAAAAGGTCCTGAACCAGCTGACTAGAAGGTGAAGAGACTTTCCTTGATGGACCTAACTTGATCAGGTGCAACTTAAGAAGACACTAACTAGGCTTTTTCTGGCAATAGAAATTTAAAGCATAAGATGGATAAAATATGATGGAAATTCTCCATTGCTATCTTGGGACAATGGAAGGGGCCATGCAGGTCTCAAGGGGCTGAGAGTGGTTCCTAGGTGACAGCTAGAAAGGAGATTTAGTTCTTAGGTCTGCAATCATAAGAATTGAATTCAGCCACAATTAAGTGAGCTTAGAAGAGGAATACCAACTAAGGACAAGGACATAGTTGGCCAACAACTTGCTGAGTTCCTGAGGAGACAACTCTATCATGCCATGCCCAGATTTTGACCTACCTAGAGAAATAGTAATAAATATTGTGTGAGCTGTTAAATTTGAGGTTAACTTGTTACACAGTAAGACAAACTTAACACATGCACTAATCAAGCTAAATCATATAGCTTGATTTAGAAGAACCCAAGAAGTTTATAGTAAGCCCCAAATCCTACTGTAAGAAATGTGTCTAACATCAATGACACACAACATTAAAATACGAAAGAGGGCCATTAGATTAGACACTACAGGGAAAGAAATCTAAGAAATTTTCAAGTTCATTGGCCACAGTAACTAGGAGACAAAGATCACAAAATACAATATGTATTTACCAGGAAAAAGATGATTCTTCTAGATTCACTGAAACCAAAAGGTGGAATTAGGTCATCTTTAGGTCTCTTTTAGCACTTTCTATAATTCTTCTTAAGATATAGTCCTATCTTTTTTAACAGACATGAGAGATGCGTGGGTACGAACCCAGATCCTACAGATGTTCATAACTCAACCAGCTTCTTATAAAACACGGAATCAGAAAGGGAACAATTTATTAAGGTTCAAAGCTTTCTCATCTGCATTCAACCAAGGGACTTTATAACACAGCAAAATACCAAACTGAACAAAAGCAAGGCTTTCTTCCCATATAAAACCTACCTTCGTACTTTCAAAAAGATGATTTTTTTAAAAATCCCATATTTAAAACTGAAAGTCTGTATATATGTGCACAAGGAGGAAAAAGTTTATAAGGCCATGTACAGGAGGCAATAACATTAACAAAAGCTGAGAAACTGGTAGATGCCCTGGGAGTAAATTTTTACTCTCAATTTAGATCCTTATTAAAAAATTATACACTAAGTATAAATTAGGCACTTAAAATTTAAGTGAACTCATTTGTTAAAACATGACTTGGGGGAAAAACAGTGGTAGCAATCAGTTCAGTTCAGTCGCTCAGTCATTTCCGATTCTTTGCGACCCCATGAACCGCAGCACACTAGGCCTCCCTGTCCATCACCAACTCCCGGAGTTTACCCAAATTCATGTCCACTGAGTTGGTGGTGCCATCAAACCATTTCATCCTCTGTCGTCCCCTTCACCTCCTGCCCTCAATCCTTCCCAGCATCAGGGTCTTTTCAAATGAGTCAGCTCTTCACATCAGCTGCTGCTGCTGCTAAGTCGCTTCAGTTGTGTCCAACTCTGTGCGACCCCATAGACGGCAGCCCACCAGGCTCTGCTGTCCCTGGGATTTTCCAGGCAAGAACACTGGAGTCGGTTGACATTTCCTTGTCCAATGCATGAAAGTGAAAACTGAAAGTGAAGTCGCTCAGTCGTGTCCGGCTCTTTGCAACTCCATGGACTGCAGCCTACCAGGCTCCTCCGTCCATGGGATTTTCCAGGCAAGAGTACTGGAGTGGGTTGCCATTGCCTTCTCCATCACATCAGCTAGATAGTATTGATTTTGCACCTATATAGCTTAATTTATTGGTATAGTCTAAGTAACTTCTTAAGAGAAATAAAACCCATTATCATTTTGATTCTAATTACTCTGAGAGCAATTGCTAGGTCAGGAGTTCTAGAAAACTGTTGAAAATAACAAGTCTAACTAGTTAGTGAATATCCAGAATTTTATCTTAATATGAATGAAAATATTAAAAAAAACTTCTCAAAATAAATCAGATGAAACACAAAACGAATTTCAGAACTTCAATACAACAGGGAACTATACTGAGAGTTTAATGCAATAATGACGGAGGGGAAACTCAAGGGATAATAAAATAGTTTCATTAATACCAAACCATAAGTAATAAAAACATAAACAAAACTTTTTATCTGTTCTCTTCATTTCCTTTAGTTTAAGATCTTTTAGTATCCTCTAAATGACAAACTGATTTAAAAAGCAGTTTGACAGAAAAAAAAAAAAGAATCTAATATAATCAAATGATCCAGTTCTTGATTATACAATGTACACACTGCCTTCTTTCCTTACCTTGTCTATCCTATCTGGACGATTGGTAGCTGCCAAGATTGTCACGTTCTTTAACTGTTCAATGCCATCCATTTCCGTCAAGAGCTGAGCCAAGACACGATCAGCTACATTCCCAGCACCTGAAGAACTGATTTTTTAAAATGCAGTTTTAAAAATCTGTTTATCTATTCCCAAATACTCGACTATTTTAAAAAGACTGTATATTCTGCACCAAGAAACATTATGTCTTTTTCAAATTATAAAACGTATGCTTCAGAATTCATTACTTGTTGAATTATCATATTCAAAAACTAACTAGATTGAAATAATTTCTTTTCCTCCATCATCAATCATGATTATCATCTCCCCAATAATGAAATGCTAAAAAGCATCAAATATAAAAGATCTGGGAAGATATAATATTATTTTTTAAAGGTTCATCAAATACATAATTACTTAACTTAATTGATATTTACATTTTATATGGCAATTAAACTGACAAGAATTGGGAATAAACAAATGAGTAAGATACAGATTCAATCTCACATGAAGTTCAGAGCTTACATGAGACAGAAAACTCCTTACAAATGTATAACAAATGGGGTATTTTTGACCTATCTTGATATTTTCATAAATATTAAGAGTAAATTTAAACATATCAGCAGATAGGGAGTCACCACAATACACATATCTGGAGAGATAGGCAAAAAAGAGCATTTTATTTTGTTGCTTTTGTTCATGTCCTAGGTCAATTACAAAGCTACTCCTGGACAAACTATACTTTAATCTCATTTCCTTTGATCACAAAAAAATTACTGAATATCTAGTCTTAAGAAGTAAACCCAACAGGTCTTAATAGTGAACAAAATCCTGATATTACACAATCAAGGCCTCAAAATAACAATTCTCATTAGCACTAGCTGGAATTTACTAAAATCTGTTCAGAACTGAGAAATACACAATAAACCTCTAGGTGGACAATCATAGAGTGAAACAACACTGTAAACGTATTAAATGTATAAATTCAATCAGATGCTGTTCAGAGTGGGCGAGGAGGTGAAGAGGGAAAGAGGGTAGAAAACCACACTCCATACTCTTATCTTAGCATGACAGTAAGTACACCTTAGTGTTCGTACAATCATCACATAATATATTTAGTAATAAAGTAATCAGGATCTCTAAACAGAAGAATTTAGATCTCAGCATGCATTACAAGTTCTAAAACTTGACACACAGGAGAACAGCCTCTAATTCACACTAATCAAACACATGAGGTTGTTGTATAAATCATTACTATCAGTTAAATTAAATGGTTGGTTCTTCCAGGTTATTATATAAATTACACTGTCAATTTATTAAATGGTCTTTCCCAATGCCAAAAAAGTTTATGAGCAAGCAAAGAGAATCTGAGAAGCCAGTGAGATTTGTTTTAGTCAGCACTAATTCCTACAAGTAAACAATTGGCAGGTGTATGAATTTGCTGACCTGATTCTACTTAAGAATAAACTTAGACCATTTTGAATAAATGGATTACCTATCCTTCCAAAAATGCTCCATGATAAAACTTTTCCAAGTGTTAGATAGGAACATTGCTAGCAAAAGCTCTAGGGCTCCTGCATGATGACTACAAGCATATAAATATTTAAGAATGCCAACTGATTACATCTGAGGCCTATAATTGTATCTACTTTGTAGTACCACTTGTTGTGGTACTACAAGGTGCTATGGAAGGTCACAGGATCAGGTCTTGGGAGGGTCAAGGTGAGCTGTCCAGAGGAAATGGTTTCTAACCTACAACCTAAAAAAAAATGAGTGGGGACCAGACAGTCAAAAAATAGAGGGAAGAGAGAGAACACTGAAAATGGAAACCACTTCAGAATAGCACAGCATAGGAGTAATGTAAAAATGTAAAAGATCAGCAGAGAAAGATAAACCAAGGGTGTATGACAAAGGCTTTATTATCCAAATTACTGAGTTTGGATTTTAACCTGAAGTGGATAGGAAGTTTCAAGTAGAAACATGACAAGATCAGATTTATGTTTCTGAGGACCACAGTGGCCACAATATAAAAAACAGGTTACAACTGAGCAGTGAAAGTCGCTTAGTGGTGTCTGACTCTTTGCGGACTCTATATACTATATAGTATATACTATATATACTATATACTATATAGTCCATGGAATTCTCTAGGCCAGAACACTGGAGTGGGTAGCCTATCCCTTCTCCAGTGGATCTTCCTGACCGTGGAATCAAACCAGGGTCTCCTGAATTGCAGGCAGATTCTTTACCAACTGAGCTATCAGGGTAGTCCCAACTGGGCAGTAATGAGTAAGAATTTTAGAAGTCTTAACTCCCTCCTAACAAGTAAAAAGCTCTATAAATTGAAAAATTAACAATTCTTTTTAGATCCCTCAGAAATGTGAGACCTGGGTATCCTAATCTGTTCAGGCTGCTATAACAAAATACCACAGACTAGGTGGTTTATAAACAACAGAATTGCATTTATCACACTCTCGAGGCTGGTAAATCTAAGATCAAGAGGCCGCATGGTCAGGTGAGAACTCCTCCTCTGGCTGATACTGACACCTTCTCACTGTGTGCTCACTTACCACTACACTACTAAAGGCCTACTTGCCACAGTTCCTTTTACCCAGTAAACCATGCCTATCAAGAGAAAAACTATAAAGCAGAATAAAAAGCAAACCAACACAGCTAGAAAGAAACTGAGCTAGCATCAGAACCAGAGAATTAGCAAGAATGCTGGAATTATCAGACCAGTAATTTTTTAAAACTATGACTAATATGCTAAGGGCTCTAGTGGACAAAGTAGACGACATGCAATAAAAGGGCAACATAAGCAGAGAAATGGAAATTCTAAGGCTCAAAGAGAAATGCTGAGATATAACACTGTAACAGAAAAAAGGAATTCCCTTTTTGGGTTCATTGGTAGATTACACAGGGCTGAGGAAATAATCTTTGTTTAAGTCAACAGAAACATTCAAAATGGAAAAGCAAAGAGAAAACCAGACTAAAGAAAACAGTGAGAAAAAAAAAAACACAACAGAAAAGAATATCCAAGAACTGTGGACAACAAAATATGTAATATAAGTGTATCTAAAATACAAAAAAGAGAATACAGAGTAGAACATATTTGAAGCCATAATGACTGAGAATTTCCCCAAATTAATGTCTGACACCAAAATCCAAGATCAAGGAATATAAAAAATCAATAATGCTCTGAATATTCCAGCTGACCACTACAGGATATCTATGCTGTCATAGTATGGTCAATACTCAGTTTGACCCTAATAGTAAATAAATTACTTTAGATTAACAACATACCCTATAAAAGCAGACAGACATATATTAATATAATGAGTTATCTTCCCCAGCTGTCCGAGAGCTGTGTAAGCTACATGTGCTCTGAATAACTGCAGCTTTGTATAAACTGTTAATACAGAGAATGACATAAAAGTATGTATTTTTTCATTTTGCCATGATTTCCCAGTAAAAATTCCAAGCTAACATAGGCATTACATTACATTTGTATAGTTTTGCTCATTACACTTCTATAGTTTTGACTCAATTTACCCTCTACAAAAAGCAATTTTTTGAAGGGAATTTTTCACAATCTTGGCCCTCCCTATGCTGCTGTTATAAACATAATCCAATAAAAGGAAAATAAGGAAAATTAACAGATGTAAGTTCAAACATTTTTCTGACAACAAGCTAAAAACTGAAGCAGAAAAAATGCTTATAAACATGTGTCATTTTCTTAAGTGCCATAGATCTAGAAATGTTGACAAGGAAAACTAAAATTTTACAGTGATTGTAATAAATGATTATATAATATAAAGTTTTACAAATGACTCCAGTAAAATCTGCACTGATCAGTACTTATTGGGAAGGGTGCTTTGAATTTGGGAAAGAGCTAAGATATGATACTCAGTGAATCTTCCCTCGTAGCTCAGTTGGTAAAAAAAATCTGCCTGCAATGTAGGAGACCTGGGTTTGATCCCTGGGTTGGGAAGATCTCCTGAAGAAAATGGCAACCCACTCCAGTATTCTTGCCTGGAGAATACCGTGGACAGAGGAGTCTGGCAGGCTACAGTCCATGTGGTCGCAAGAGTTGGACACGACTTAACAACTAAACAACGATGATACTAAGCTTGGGATCAATTGCCAGCTTTACCACTTTTCTTTTTGTGTAATGTTGTATAAGAGATACTTCTCTGAGCCTCAGTTGTTTCAATCAAACATGGAAAGACCCATAGCATTCTCAAAATTAAATAAAATGTATAAAAGATCTAGCGTAATAGTTAGCACAAAGAAAGGATCAATAGATAATTATAATAATAATTCTTGTAACTATTATTACCACTGTACCTTGGTTACTGGCAATGTGTATAACCTTTTACAAGTTATTTTAACCAATTAAACTGAAAAAGGAATGTGTGGCACATAATACTGAAATAAAACATAAACATGATGTATGATTAAAGATCTTCAGAAGTTAAAACAGGTCAGCAGATACATATTGTCAGTTCCCTACTTAGCTTTACTTAAAACATGGTAGAAAGTATCAAACTTCCTTAAACTTTTCCATGAAAACCACCAACATAATGCTAAGGTAAAAAACTCAACTGCTTTTCGGCCTTTTGGTAAGATTAAGTTTAAGATAAAAACTACTCCTCTTACTTAAGCCCTTCATAACGATGCCCAAAACAGTGAGCCTAATAAATAGACTACTAAGAAACACTTTGTTTATACAAGCTGTATTAGAAGGAAATTACTATACACTGGTAATGAGACTTCTTTACATTTTAGTCTTAACTATATACTAGCTGTTCAAATGCAGTGAGTTTGGCTCCTCAGAGTCCTCAAGGCACAATATATTTTGAATAGCAAAAATTTCCAGATAAGGAGATCTTTATACTGCTCAGATATTTTAAAATGACTTTTTTTAAAATGGCAAACCTTCTAAAATGGAAAAAAACCAATATACTGTAAGACTGCTCAGATGTAGAATTGCTTGGCTCAAGAAACTGCATGAAAAGAAAATCTCCACGTCCTTGGTTTCTTAGATCTATACCAAAAGAAGTTCTCATCATCTGTTACTTCTATGCTCTTTTTCAGTCTTCTAAATGA